GAAATAAATCGTCTCCACCTACCACTGTTCTTGCGCGAAGTATAACGATATCACGCGCATGCAGGCGACAAAGCGAGAGGCGTTCCGCTCTAAATTATAGTTTGTAACAGCAGCGATAATTCATACTCTGAAAAACGTGACTTACGAATTAATTTGCATTGTTACCGAGATTTACACGCGAGTGCCGCGTCGTGCGGGGCAATTTTTATAGCCTCGCGTGTCTATTGCAAATACCTTTTTTTTTTTACTGTCGCGGCCGCATGCTTCCGAGCTCACCGTTTGCTCGTATTCCGCGATTTGCATTTTTTCGGGCAACACTGAAAGTGCCCGTTACTCAACGATTATCTAGTTAATCCCTCACCCAGCACTTACGCAATTCGTATTGTTCGTATTGTCGATGTTTTTATTGCGTTAAAATTTGCAAAGACTAGCTAAGCTCGTTACTACTATTGTATCGCGCTTTTAAGAGAATAAACACGGATTTGCATCGCCATTGCAAATGTATTATTTTCGATCATCGATGCATTAATGCTTTATTCTGAACAAAAATATATTAATTTGCAATGAATTATTAGATTCCTTTTAATTTGTTTTGAATGGAGCAAATTGCAAATTTTTAACAATTTCTTCTACATAAAATTATTTCAATAAAACAAATACACATTTTGATATTATGGATAAATTTAATTTTAAAATTAATATCGGGAAATTTAAATATAATATTTTGCATAGTGTGCAATATAATAAATAAAGATTTCATAATTTTATGTATAATCAGAGCACAATTTTTCGCATGTTAATATTGATTTAAATAAATAATGCAAATATACGCTATTTTAGTATAGTGCATTGACATTTAGAAACCTGGCGCAAATATTTGCACGTTAATGTATCAAGTATACGATTCTGTTTGCCGTTTGCAATAATGTTCGTTCTATTATTTCGTTCATATGCTATGGTTCGTTCAAACAGTTCGAATCGTATTCGCCAAAACTGCCATAGCAAATATCCCTATTTCTCATGATTAAATCAAAACAGATTCTTGTATCTATAGTCAACCTGTTGATTGTTAATTTCAGACATCGTTGTTTCTCGCCGTCCGCGTTATCCGCCAACCTTTGTTTTACAAAAATATCGAGTCGCCGCGCGACGAATGGATAACACAATTTGCTTGTTATATCGATTAATGTCTACAGAAATATTTTTTTACTTCTTATTCGTTTATGATTTTTTAAACTCAAATCTAACGAAGTAGAACTTTTTCAAAAATACCAGCAAAATTAATTTTGGTTGCCTTGAAGCTTCACTCAAACCTATCAATCGCTATCCAATTGTTCACTCTTTCGAAATTACAGATGCTTGATAACTCTTTGAAATCAATCGTTTTCTATTTTGGAATTTTTGTATTTCTTCGCGTGAGGTAGTTTTTACGAATTTTTTTTTTTGCCAGTTGGATGCTCGTCGAATATAGACATGTACGGTGGCGAGAGGCCAAGACAACGAGGGGTTGATCGACACGTATCCGGGTGCGCGGCGAGCCAAGCGGTTTACAAACAGGCTTGCAAAATACACGAGACATGTCCGTTTGGCTTAACGCGTCTCTGTTGAGCCGGCCGCCGCGAAAGAGTCGATCGATGGCGCCGAATATTGGCGCGCCTTCGGGCGAGCACAGCTGCGTCCGTGATGTTCTGTGATTCGCGCGAAAAGCTATTATCCGGAGATAGATGTGTGCAAACGTTGGTGGTGGTAGTGATGATGCAGGCCTGCTATCGCAATTCGGGAATTCGTGCGCGGCGGCGACAAGTCTTTCTCACGCGCTGCGCCATCGTTATTTGTGAAATCTATGGCTCTTTATACTTTATATGCGTAGTTTTCGTTGAACATCGTTGTTTGTCGTGTATGATGCGATTTAAAGAGATAGGAAAGTTTGATGAATTAGATACGTCTCTTTTTATTTTGATTTTTTATTTCATGAGATAATTCATTTTGATATATACTAGTAATAATTGGGCGATTAGAAACATTTTTTAATTATAATGCCTGCTTGGTTGTTTTTAAATATTTTAATTTTTTAATTTTAAATAATGTTAACGTAAATATTTTATATTTTTAATCCATTCGATAATCTCTGAAATTTTTATTAATTTTTTTTATTTTTAAATTTAAATTATTTAAGTTTTGGATGCGCGTTGACCGCATAGGTGCGGATATATGCTGATAGATATACATATATGTATTTTCTACGATATTGCCTTGTCATTATAGCTTTCGCGGAAAAGCTGTCATTATGAAATTGCAGCCCGAAATTACAGTTGCATCCAGTTTACATTCATGCATTACGTATTATCACGCTTAATGGCTTTCTCTTCAAATCGCGGCGCGGAACCATCGTTACTGTGCTTTCTGTGTGATTACAACAGATTAGTTGCTGATAATGCCGTGATTAGTATTGTAGATGCTGTTGCATCCGTAAACAAGAAGCGATGAATGAATAGTGCAACAGGGAAATGCGTACTTATCAAATCAGCTCGTAATTTGTAAACTTTATTTTTACTTTATTTTTACGTATACGATACGTCTGAAAAATAACTGGATTATTCGAACGGAAGTTTTTGTTAATTTTTCGTTTAAGTATGATATATATTTGACAATCAATGTCGTTATTTTTCAGACATATAAAGTTTCTCTTTTGCATGATAAATAATCTTAGTGACCCACGAAAATATATCGCGATAAAAATTCTTATTTTCTGAAATACAGATTAATTATTTTATATTGAATCAATGTTAATTCGATTTTTAATCATGCTGTGTATATCGATGGATGACTAAAAATAATAAATTGTTTCGTATTTAAATCGCATTAAAATAAAATAAAATTGATAATTTGAAAAGTTGCATATATTTGTTCTCAGTTCAATAATACGGGTAAGCAAGCACACGCTTCGTGTAACTATTATTCGCCGTTTTTGCATTAAACAAGTCACCGCGACTAAACGAAGATCACTGGACCATTCGTAAATTTTACTGCATGGTCGCCACGGTCGAGAGTTTCGTACTGTTGAATAAATGCATTAATTGTTCTGAATATTAGCGCGCGTAATAATATTTGATTGCAACGTCCGCGGTAATTATATAAATAACGATGCGAGATTCGCAAATCTCACCAATATAAAATATATAATAAAAGGCGAGTTACGAATCGTTTGAATTAATCAAGCATAATGTATTAAAAATCTTTTGTTCTGTATTTCAGATTTATAATAATAAGAATTAATTTAATCAGAGAACTGTTAAATATTAAAAATTATATTTTCCGTCAAAATTTCGACGATCGGAAATTCTCTAAAAATCTCTTTGAATGCATGTGTTATGATTACTTTCAAAGATAAAATTAAAAAATCCTATTAAAAAATAGATAAAAATCTTCACTTGGCTAACCCTTGCTGTCTCATAACAGCGCGGGATGAGAAAAGGTAACGGAAATGCGTGTCGTAGAGGAAACGAAGCGTTTGAATGCGCAACGAATAATTAAACGTCAATCGCACGCCTACTCGTCGGGCGCAGGCTTTAGGGCCGATTCTCTCCCTTTCGCTTATTTACTTGACGCATATAGAGCAGCATGGTAGCTATTACATAACGGTTGATATAACTATCAGCCATCACCCATTTAAAGCGTCGACTATCGACAATCTCACATGTGATGCGACGCACCGCATTGATAAGCGCGTTGCGTAGGTACGTGATCGGAAGGTAGACATGTAACGATAATTCGAAACAATGACAGGATGACGTATGAGCAATATTGCAAAATATCTAGGAAATTTATTTCTCAAATTACTAATTTTATTTTAGATTTAATTTATTTATCAGAATAAATCTCAAAAATAAATGTGGAAATAAAAATACATAATTTATTGAAAATGTAAATGATAGAACATCGTAATGGAATATGTACAAAGAGTTTAAGAGAACAAAATGTAAAATAACAATAGACGAAAAGGGAGCAGTTGGAGAAGAAATGGTGCGTGAAAGGATAAGACAAAGAGAGATGGAGTTCTAAAGTGACGATAAAAGTGACAAAAGATTGATTGTAGATCGCTGATTAACTTGGATCCTATCAAAGTATCTCGCGATTCGTTAATCTTTTGATTATCGTTGTATTAGGTGTCTGCTAAACCTGTTGCATCTTTTCCGATTATTCTGCATGATATAATTATTTTTTCTAGCAATTATTATTGTTAATATAACTAATAGAATTTTTGATCCTTTATTTTGTCACGATCAAATTTTCTTTGGTACTTATATGTTATATTATTTACATGTATTCCCATTTTTGAAATTTCGTTGAACAGCTTTGCAAATTTGATTTGAATTTTTCTCAATAATTTTTCGATTATCTTTAAAAAAGTGAAATAATAATAGTGATTATAAAAATAAAAATAAATTAATAAAATATTTAATATATTAAAAGAGACAAACTGATGTGTTATTAATCTTTAATGTGTGAATTAACATATATATATATATATAATAAATTATATGAGAAAAACAAAATGAGCAATCAAGTGCTTTAATTATTTTTTTAATTTAACGTTGTAGAAAAGAACAAAATTGTTTCAGTATAGAAAAATTCCTCTAATAACAATATGTGCTTCTTTTTCAAATATTATTTACAATAGTAAAAAAAAATTCACAATTTTCTAAGGAATACTAAGGCTTGCATAGTGTACTAATGTATCAATAATATCAAAAGTTTTCATTCACAGCTGCAACGAAAAGTCGATATTCTAAAGAGATTAAAGACACGACATTAATTACTATTATTACTATTTGCGTAGTAATATATATCAGCGATATCGGTATTGGAGAGCTTTAGTCGATCAATAGAAATTGGAATCTAGAGCAAATTCCAGCCCTTCTTGAATCTCAAGTTCCGAAATGGACGCCTCAATGGTGCTTCAATTATAAAAGTAATTAGTGCACTAATTATGTACTTACTTCTGTGTCCTTTATCCATGACCGGGTCTCTCCTCAGCTTTACCCTTCTCTTTGCATTCATCCGTGGAGCTGTAAAAATAAAATATACGGAAAAATCAATAACAGTTTTAATAACAGTTTTTGTTTTTCTGTATATTAATGATATTTTGCAAAAATTAAATCATAAAATATTAAACAAGATTATAAATAGGAAAATATGCAACAACGTATGAACAAATTTAATATAATATGAAAACGAACAAAAATATATGTGAAGATATGATGCGATGCAAAATAAGCAAAATTCTGAGATTAAATTTGAAAATAAAATTCGTGAAATATAAAAAAGTATGGAAAAAGCCTACATTGTTTTCCAAATCTGAATTGAAATATAAATTGAAGTATGCTCACTGGCCAAATAATAGACTGATATTATATAATGAAACGAAACAAATAAAAAACCAGAATGATGCAATGAGCAAATAGCTAACAAACAATTTTAGCAGAACCATGTTCGCGTTGCGAAAAGAAACAAGACTTCTCTTAATTGACACTGTCAGTTGTCGAACTGATTGCGTACTTAATACGATCTATCCGTTGTTTTACATACAGTGGTAAAATCGTTCGGTATCTTCTCGCGGAAACAAACTTACAACTTGTTAATTGAAACTGTCACTGTGATTTGCACAACGGTAGGAATTTCTGTTTAACGTAGAGATGCAGGTAAAAGAGGCGCGAGGCAATATCGAACTACAGTCGAGATTTTCGAGCGGCTCCTTTTTCATAATGCAGCCTGGCGATTTCTGCTCGGTGTAGCGTAAAGGCGATTTCGATACTGACCCCGATTGCACCTACTCGGTCTACCCGACACATTCACGGTCTCGAAAAGTTGACCCGACGATGATCCGCGGACATATTTGAGATAGGAATAGATTTATCGAAGCAGCGAAGTGATGTAGCTGAATTTTTAATCGCACGAAACGCGAGCACATTCTTCAGATGAGCAGAAAAGATATGAGAAGTATAGATAATACTTATTATGTTTTAAATAAGGAAGAGAGAAAGAGAACCTTAATATACTCCAATACAGAATGATATTCTCTTAAAGAGAATACTGTTATATCTTAAAAATTATTCTTTTCTAAACTAGAAACTATGAGATAAGATAACATAAATTTCTATGTTTCTGCGCTGCATTTTTTAATAATAATAATAATAAGTCATTACATAATCTCTTTGCGTAAAAATTTTCCGTAAAAAAGAATGATAAATAAAACCTGTGGACAGACGCTTAAGGAAAACGTATTGTAGTACGTGTAAAGAGATTGTTTAATCGTATGTACTTTGAATGTACTGAGTCGGTTAAACTTTAAATGAAAAACACCGTGAAATACTAGGTGAACTTCGTTAGCGACTTGGCTGCAGCGAGCATGAATGTCGCGCGATTACTTAGCACGAAAAGCATTTGATTATCTTTCCGCTGTCGCGTTCTTCATTTTTCCATACGTTGATTATCACGGTGTATTTATTAGCGAGCGAATTAATCTCTTATGTTAAGTAAATTAAACACGGATAATATTAATACATTATAATTACAACAATACAACAATGAAACTAATAAAAACTGGATTATATACTATATAATTTACACTTTAAATGTGACACATGAAAATTTATTTTGCACTTTAATTTGCTTCGTAAAAGAATTAAATTGTGATGAAATTATGATATAAATTTATTTTATGCTAAAGATGTGATTTAATGATTAATACGCGAATTTATTACGTCGTTATATACTCGCAAATATATTCTTGATCGTATATTTTTTTTACCATGTAAATTTCCTTCAATTCACGAGCTAATGCGTAGACTATTTCTCCCCTATAGGCATAAATCAATTACGTGACCCACTAACGGCTTCAACAAACGACTCTTTGTGTAAACAACGTTATCCGCTGTCGTAGCGGATAAACTTGCACATCGTAAAATTACGTACAATTATTTTAGCACAAAAGACAATTGTTATTTTCACACCTGTGAACCTTTCATCTTCTTGTTCCTTTCTCTCTTTCTCTCTGCCCATTTCCATCTTCTCGTCTTTTTTACTCCTTTTCGCGCGCTGCTTGTTGCATCGCGGTTTATCGGCGAGATAGATGATGGCGTAATCTGCCTTCCGATCGACATTCCGTTAATGAACACGTAGATAGATCGCGATTCGCGTATAGCTCTCGTATGGCGTGTCGGGTCGCGATAACTGCCGCGGCTGCAATCAATATAGCGCCCGAGACCTACGCGGGGGAGTCGCCTCTGGGCGAGAAAAATGAAATGGTCCGTTTTTGCACTCGGTGACCCATAGAGTGACGAGGAAAATAGTGTGTCGAGCGGCCTGCCGATAAAATCTTCAGCAAACTTGAATCGTGTTGGAAGTGATCCAAGTGCTGCTTGCATATTTTTTAATTGTCGGCTCTCAGTTTTTTTTTTAATGCATCGTAACGACGCGTATAGCGCTGTGAAGTAGCTTCTAAAATTATTTGTTATCGATGTAATCAATTAACAATTATAATAATAAATAATAATACTAATAATTCAAGAACTTTGCAGATGTAAAATGTCTGCGTATCAACAAGTCAGAAATTTTAGAAATGCATACGGAATATTAAAATTATTATTATTATTTTAGAAGAATTAGAAATAATTTACATAAGATGTATAACTCTATATATTAATTGAATTAAATAAATTTTAAATAATTCTCTTTTGAAGATACGTATCTTCTGAAATTAATATAAATAAGTGAAATATAGTAATCAAACTAGGTTCACTGTTAAATTACTATTTGAACTACTTTAAAAGACAATTACCTCTTAATTTTAATTAAATATGATGGGAAAATGGACGCTTTTATCAGAAAGCTTAAAAAAACTGGGTCAGCCGTAATAAAAAGATACTGCATCGTGACCGAACTAGTTACTCTCTCAGTTAATGATAATAAAATAATTCAACTAACAATATGCAGTAAAAATTATCTTTCCATATTTTATATATACATCCTACAACGAGCAATATTTAAATATTACGCTAGAGATCCGTTAAGGAGTAAAAATAAATATAAAAGAATTATAATTATTATAAATACTTAATTTACTTTACTAATTTGTCAAATCTTCAATCTTAATATTTCAAAATTAAATAGAAGATTTTTTAAACACTATTTTATATAATTATTTATTGAAAATTATTGTTTTTTTAAATGTAGGGTAAATTTGATTTATTAGTGACTCAATTCAAGTTTTCTACCGTAATTATATTTGTTGTAGTTAGATTTCAAGAGTTGTAGCGAAGAAGATTATCGACTGAACGCGTTTACAAATGCCCTTCTTTTCTAAAAGGATAGATGTTCAGAACTGACATGAAATAAGAGGGATACAAAGCACACTTTAATCGAGATGCTCGTAGCTTGTAATCCGCGTAGAAAAAAGTACTTTGTTTTTTTTTTTATTCTCTTCAGATAACAAAATCTTTGAATGCACAATAAAAACTGGCTTCTGTACAAATAAACTTGTGTTTTTTTCGTACGATTCGATTATACATACTGAGAAAAATGGAAATGTTTGTTTTACAAATTGCAGAAAATGATCTTAACTCTTCCGAGTAAAAGTTTTTCGCGATACGCATGCATTTTAATGGCATATTATACGACAATTTTGTTTGCTAATTTCCTCTGCGAATAGTTGCTAGACTACATAAATACACAATATAAAATGTTTATAAATTATCATACGGCAACTATAAATTATGGATAAACGCTAACTTTAAGAATGAGTTTAAAAATTTTGCAAAAATTTTTAAGAAAGCACACAAAATCTTTGTGAATAACGTTGGGGACACTCGAGAAACACGCAAGATACTTTTTATCTCGCTACGTGAATACATCACGTTTGTGAAAATAGTCTTCTCGTTTATAGAGCGATGAAAGATTCCTTCGTAACGACGACCGTATCATCGATCCTAGTTATGTATTATGCCACTCCTCTATGCGGAAGAGCGATTCTGTTGAAAGCAGCTTGCGCGCGCAAACTGTGTGTGCAAACCGAGGCATAGGATGTTCGATCGTGCTCAAATCAGATATCACACAAGTCTAATTAACCCTTGAATGTCGTGTTATCCTAGACAAAGAGACGAACCGTTTCGTTTTCCCAAATTAATCGGTATTCGAATACGACACCTTGGGCAACTCGAGCGGGAGGAGGGTGGATTCCTCCGGTGACCTGCGAAATTAAATTCTCGATTCCTAATTAACAGGATTTCACTAGTGGCAGAACAAAAACCTCGGAGTTAACTGAAACCAATATTACCCGCGAAATTGAATCACCGTCCGGCAGGAGCACGAAGCTCGATCGATCAAACGCACTGTCTTTTCAGCTACCGTTTTTGCCCCCCCCCCCCTCCTCCCCCCCGTAACGCTAACATTTGCACGCTTGTGAAATATTCCTGCGGTTTGCGGATTCGGTGTCCTTAATAAAGTATGAAGCCGCTCGACGAATAAACGACAAACAGACATTAAGGCTATTTGTAATCTTTACATTGCATAATCAAATGATAATAGAGATTATTTTTGAACGAAAAGGCAGGTGATCATATTTCACTTGTAGATGAATATGTGAAACGTCGATTCATGATTGATATTGGTATTTCTTCCACGTTTTTCACGCGATTACAGGAGAAATATGGATATGGAGAAATATGGAAGGATAATAGAAAATCAATAAAAAGGGCGTTAGGCAAGATAAAGTAATACGCCCAAAATTAAAGATCAATATATGTACATATACATTCTTCGGAAATGTTTCAATAGGTAGGCTTCAATAGATTAGTAGGTTTTAATAGATAGGTTTCCATAGTAAGGCTCACCAAGATCACTGTCGACGTCATGAATGACGATTTTGATGCCCTCCCCGTCGACCAGACTGCCCTGCCTAGGCAATTCTCGTTCCTCAGCCGCGACCCTGCTAACAACCGTCGGAGGGGCGGCTTTCACTGCTCCTGGTTGGGCCGATGTCAGTGCCCTTATCGCATTTATATCGGGTCTGAAATAACACATCAATGATTTATGATATTAGCAAAAGTTTTTCAATAAATAGCAATTTCTATAAACTTTATTTCAGAAAAAGATTTGCAGCAACATATAATTAATTGATATATTTGGTTCAAATAATTAAAATGGACAAAATGGTTAAAACGTTGTTAAAGTAAAGCATGAGAAATAGCGTTAAATTTCCATGGATTTGTTTAATTTTGCGATATTATTTTATTTACTACAAAATTTCGAGTATTTAATATTTAAAATTATTTTATTTTGAAAAGCTCTTTCGCGGGAACAATGCCACAAACAACATTTGTTGTTAATAACGGCTGATTTTGTCGACGCTTAAAAACTATTTCACGAACCGCTAAATATTCTTATTAAATGCGGATATAAGCCGATTTAAGGATCTGATTATAACCATTATGCGGATTAGACGGATTTAAACTATTACGGATTAAGCAGCAAGATTGAAATTGATTCGCCTACGTCATAACAACTTTTGTAATTGCGAAACTATTTCGGTATAGTCAAAAACATATTTAATAATTGTAACCAGTGCTTGGGGCAAAGGTCGAAAAATATTACAGCCAATATCGACTTTCTTGAAGTTGCGATAATAAACCGCCGAGAAATATTGTTTTATTTCGTAAACATCAGTATGAACCATCAATATGTTGACTTAAAATAAACTTTTATTAGCCGTACGTTCCTACGATATTAAAATATGCTCGCCATAACTTATTCATATTTTTGTTACTTTATTATTATTTAGATTTTTGCTTTTTTTGCTTTGATGTAATATTTAAAATTTTAAATAAACTGAAAGCAATAAAACAAAATGAGTTGAAAAAAATAAAAAAATTTAGTAGCAAATAAAAAGGTATACTGAGCTTCAGATTTAATTTAAGCATGCAGCATTTTTTTATATATATTTTACTATAATATATATTTCAGCATCCATCACCACACTCAAATTATTCTTCTGCAAAAAAATTTTCCGTACACAAACATAAAAAAAAATTAAGTTTTGTAATTTGTTGTTTTAATTTATCAAGCAATTTAACTTTTAACATGAATCAAACCTCCAGTGACTTCTTAAATTAAATTTTCCTTACAATCTACTGGCGAAGAGAATACGAAAAATATAATCTTGTTACTGATGTTTATACGAAATAAAAACAAACGGTGAAATATTAAAACGGCAATTGCGATAAATTTTTTCTTCGCACGAAGCACCGTGTTGGGCAAGCAATAAATTTATCGACCCACGCAATGCGATACCATGGACACAAATTACCACCTTAATTCCGAGCTGTAAAGGCTAAGAAAGCTTACATTCGAGGTTTATAAAGCTCCAGCTACTGAACCACTTCACTCCGCGTAAAAACTTGTCGGTAGCTTTGTGTCGGATTTTAGCGGAATATTTAGCACTAAATGTGGGAGTCTGATTCTCAACTTGAGATAATATTTGTTGTAATCTTTGACATAAGACATAAAATTTAGAATAGAACAATTAAATCTAAATCCGTTTCTCAAAGACGATATCTTTGCGATTTTTTCTCATCTTCCAAAAGTAGTAATAATTTTTTCTTATTATTAAATATTCTAATAACTTTTAATTAGAATATTATTTTACGCTCTGACAATACAACATAAAGTTGTGTTAGATATTTCATCGGGTTTTTCTGATAATAATGTTTCTTCTATACTTAAGAAATTCTGTTCTTTGAAAATAAAATAAAAATAAAGCATTCAACGTTAAATGTAAAGTATGAATATGGTTTTTGATGTGTAAACGTGTCAAGAAAAACGCGCTTTGAAAATATCGGTACACTAGTAGTTCAGCGTATATAAGAGTCTTTCGGTGTGTATGTATCGAAAGTTGCCGGCATAATTGTGCAAAAAGTTTTCTGTGAGGAAGAAAGAGGAAAAACTGGAGCGATAGTTACGATAAAAGCATCTGTTACAAACTAACGGTGAAGAATGCCTGTGGAGCTCAGTTTTCACGGTTAATCCTTTGGTGAACAGGGTGAATAGAAAATAAAAAGTTGCAAGATTAAAATTTGTGTAGAGTTTCCGCACACTCTCGTTGGAAGCATTCCAAAAAATATACCAAGTATTGACGACATTTTAATTGGAATTGCATTTCGGCCATAAATTTAAAACTCGTGAAGCTTTTCGAAGTATCTTAGGAAATATCGTACAATATAGTATGCATGTTGAATATAAGATTCTCGTTAAAGTCGGTTGAAAATTGAGAAGTTGTGTTGTGAAATCTATTTATATCGCAAGGCGACTTAACGGCCTTTTTAGCGGGAATTTCTTCGAAATTTACTTTGTCGCGAAATCGTGACCGCGCAACTCACAGAGTCGCTTTTGTAAAGAAGTTGATTACAAGTTCGGACGTCTTTTTCGACGCTCGCTCAGAAACTACGAGAAGCAGCTTCAGGAATAAAGTACGAAGGTACGGAGTCGGTATCGCGTTTCCGTCGTTCTACTTCTAACCCGGAAAGT